GGGCCGGCCCTGAAAAGGTACTTTTACTTGAATTAATTATCAGTATTTCACACATCACTGTATCATAATCTTTAGAAATATATATTCAGAAATGTCTCCCTATAGGCTCAGAAAGGTTTTAATGTATGCTATGACCCTGCTTAGTAAAAAAGACAAACTATTCTGAACCTCCTGTATAATTCCTTCAATTGTAATAAAGGGAAAGATGTGTAAATGACTTTTGAAAACCAAACACAATCAATTAATCCTACAATTGTTTTCAATACTGTGTTTCTTATGTTACGCTATGCATTTTCAAAACTCTATGGTTAGATGTATATACTATTGGGAGATATTAAAAACAATATTACCTTTTTTTGGTCTACTCTTTGTGTGGCAAGACTTTAGCTGAGCAATAATCTATGTCTAAAATCAGATCTATGTTGAATGGAAAAGAGGGTCTTAAAAGACTGAATCGGAGATAAGCTGATAATAGATATCAAATTTTCTAAAGGAAGTTGTTGTCTGAAAAGCCTAGTGATTTTCTCTGAAACAAGGGCAATAGATGAATTGTACTAGCTTCGGTGAATATAATTCAAACACTACTACTGAACTGTCAAATGCATATCTCATTTTCTTTTCTGAAGAACTGTTCTTGAAATAAACTTTTCTCTCCAAAGCACATTTTCTCATAAAGGTTAGATTTCCACTACTACAGGATAGAATAGAACATTTTTTCAGTGTGTAGGTCGAGGCCAAGTTTTAGTTCGACTGCAGAGATTAAAATTCAGATATTTTCATATCACTTGGATAGTGTCAATTCATTACTCATTAGGTAAACATTTTTGTGATAATATTTAATAGAATATCTAAGTCTCTGTCTTAGACTGTTTGGGCTGCTATAATAAAATACCATAGACCAGGTTGCTTATAAACAACAGAAATTTACTTCTCACAGTTCAGGAGGCTGGGAAGGCCAAGACCAAAGTGTGGGCAGATTTGGTGTCTGGTGAGGGCCTGATTCCTGGTTCACAGGTGGCACCTTCTTCCTGTGTCCTCACATGGTGGAAGGGGCAAGCTAGCTCTCTAGGGTTTCTTTGATAAGGGCACTAATCCCATTCATGAGGGCTCTGTCCTCAGCACCTCCTAATACCGTCACACTGGTGATTAGGTTTCAACATATAAATTTGGCAGGGACACAAATATTCAGACCATAGCAGTCTCCTATTGGAGTTTTGGAGAAATATGGAAAGAGATAACTAAAATAGAAGGTCAGGTGTTCTAGTATTTCTTTGGCCTTTACTGCTTCAGTTGGGCTACATGCTCTCAGTGTCCTTCCATTGTTTTTTAGTTTATCTGACTCATTACTATCAAGAAAAATAATACTACCACCACTACTAATAGTAACAGCTAAGATTGATTTTGAAATTGTTATGTACCAGGTATAGTGCTAAGTGTTTCACGTGCATTATCTCATTGTGTCTTTACAATATACATATACATAGTGACAAAGGAAAGATTGGAAAATTTGGAAATTTGACTTTACTTTGTCAAGATCCTCCCCCTTTTTGGTGTGGAGGAAAGATAATTTCTATGCACTGACTGACCTTGTATCCCACACAGCACCTGTCATGGTGCCTGTGAATGTAATTGCTTAAGAAGATTTTGTTGGAAAAATAGGAATATGTTTAAATAGGTTTAATATGGGTATTCTGGATACTGTTCACTTTGGGTTTTAGCTACTTTGAATGTTTTGCTCTTCCTTTCTTTCAAGCTGTCCTTATTCACAACTATTGTGCCTGATGTGATCCTTTTCCATATCTCAGTGGAAGAGGGTCTGCTGCAGTAATTGCACTAGTGAATCACACTTGCCCTATGGCACCAGCATGGGTATCTATGTTTTACAAGATCAATAAAAGTATACACAGAGTAGACTAAAATGCTCTGCTCCTATCAAAACAATCAAATTTACAAAGAAATGGGTTAGAAGAGTTTCATGTAGTTTTAATGTTATTTCCACTTTTAAAATCAAGGGAGATTTCTTTACAGATTTTCTTATGTGATCACCTCTTTAACAGTATGCATTTGCACAGCCTCAGAATATTATTTAATTATAACTGAGTTATTTCAAGTTTTAAGTATTAGAAAGTTTTTTGATTAATCACTGGGATAGGAGTTCCCCACTGTGTCAAGTCCCTAAAATGTATGCATTGAGAAACATGTTTTTAAAGTATTACTTCAACTCTGAATAGAATATTTGCTAGATAATAAAAAATCTGAACTAATATTTTCTTCATTTAAAGCATGCAAGCTTTGGTTTATGTTTCATATTCTTCACCGATATTTACTGCTTTGCCTTTTTTCCTCCCTCCAGGCCCAGTAGAAGGTGTACTTACTTAATTTGCTTTTATCCGAAGGCATTTCTTTTTATTTAAGGCAATTGTTATTGACTCCCTTGAATATTCTCTGGAATATTCTCCTTGTAATTTGTGATGTGAATTGATGTCTCTAAGAAGCTTTACTGATTATACAGTCTCATGGAAATCTTCAATTTTATTTTTAAAAGATGTTGTATCTCTCTTTCTCTTTGGTCCACAATATTTTATCAAAAAGCTTGTCTCAAGTTACTAAAATGATATATTTTTGCTTTTCAGTCACTCAAGACTGCTTGCAACTGATTGCAGACAGTAACACACCAACCATAAGAAAAGGTAATGAAATAGCCCTAACACTTTTTGCACTTAGGATTCAGATATTTTTGCTTTTCAGTCACTCAAGACTGCTTGCAACTGATTGCAGACAGTGACACACCAACCATAAGAAAAGGTAATGAAATAGCCCTAACACTTTTTGCACTTAGGATTCAGTCCATTCCAAGTATTTGTTAAGTTTCAAGTCTAAAAACTATACTTGAACTGCACCTCAAATGAACCACACACCTCAAAACTTCTTATAATCATATGTAACATAATAAATTAAGTTTATTCAGAATGACTGGAAAATACATGTTTAGGCTAATGTAATAATCTAATGAACGAAATTACCTTAGAGGCACTGATATTTAGAAATTTTAAATTAGCATACAATAAAATAACATCAATACTAAATCAAATTTAATTTGTTACTATTTGGTAATTTGGCTTCTGTAAAGACTCAAAGTCATCTTCGCAAATATTAATTCTATTATATTTGGTTGGTGACGAAACTGAACATGTCATAAAAACTGTATTTTTATGACAAATTTCCAGTATCAAATCAATGCTTCCTAATTACCATTTTCTCACAGAGGTAAAATGTGTTAAACTTTTTCATTTATTTGATGCTTTTGTTAGCTTAAATTCCAGACAAGTAAGTGTTTTCTGTAGTAATAATAGCCTGAAACCAGGCTCATAGAGAATAAATGTTTAATGCCATTTCCCAAAATGTATCACCTGGAACATTAATCCTGAGAAATTGTGCTTGAAATAAGGGTTTTATTGTCAAATAAGTCTGGAGACCCAGCATCCTATATATTTTTCTTTGAGAATCACAAGGCACATTAACAAATTATGAAATCTGAGAAGTCTTACTCTAGAGAACACTTGTTTAACTTCGTTTAATCCAGTTTCACAAATTCTTGTGACCATGCCAGTCTAACAGGTATCAACATTTCCCCAAAAGCAAAATATTTTGGGAATTGGTGCTCTATAGCGGCTTCTATTTATACAAGATAACTAATGAACAAAAAGCGTACTAGAAAAGAGTGATTTATTCATTTACTCACACACTCATTTATTCATTTACTTTACATGTATCGATTAAGAACATACAATATTTCAGTTACTCTAGGGGTACGGGGGTAGCTGTGAGTGAAATGTGTATGGTTTTCTACTTTGATGGAGCTTACCTTCTAATGAAGGAAACAGAAAAAAAACCTATAATTGAGCAAGTAAAATGTAGAATGGTGAAATGAAATGCTGTGGAGGAAATAAAACAGGTAGGGGCTGGGGATTTTTGTGTTGTGATCCACAGCGGGGAGTTCAGGAGTAGCAGGAGGCCAAGCCAGGGGACCAGTAACGGGAAACCAAAGCTAACACCGCTGCTGAGTGCAGACTGGCCTTTGGAATGATCCCCTCCAGTGCTGCTTTGCATCTGTATTTTTCTATGTGACTAATTTTCCTAAACGCAACACAGTAACAAGCTGTTTGAAAATCTGTTATCTATTGCTCTACGTTTTCCAGAATCATGTTTGCAACCTCTAATAGGCTGCAAACTAATTCCTAAGAAGTAAAAGAAAGCCAGAAGAAGACCCTAAGGACCAAAGATAACACTTTTTAAAGTTCCTAGGAAAATGATTGCTTTACACATTTGGCCAAAAAAAGAAAAAAAAAAAAGAAAAGAATAAGGGAAATGCTGTAAATGATGCAAAATGATGCAGCTCCTGTACTCTAATGCAAATGTGAGACACCAAAAGTGTGAATTGAAAACTCTTGTTCTGCTTCTGCTCTGTTCCCACCTACCCCCACCTCACAAGCTACCGCTTTGATTATTTCTTGTGTAGACTTCAAGACTCTCTTTATGGGGACTCAAACAAATTGGGATGTGGTTCTGATTTCCCTCTGTCTTATACTAAAGATAACTGTACTTGGAATAGACATTATTTGAAAGTAGTAAAACCTGCTTTCTTTCCTCAATTTATATTGCAGATATTTTGATGTCCCTACATAGAAAGTTCCTCATTATTCTAAAAAGTTGCCAAGTATTCCATTGTATGACTGCAATTTATTTAACCAGTCCCCTACTGATAGACTTCTTAATGACAATCTTTTGCAATGATAATGCTTCAAAGAATGACTGGACATTTGTAATGTATCATGTGTCAGCCTATGTGTGAGACAGATTTTGAATTTTGACAGTTATTACCAAGTGGTTCTGTCAGGGTTATAAAATGTTATGCTACCACTGGCAACAAAAGAATATTAGGTGAAAAGTAATATCTCTAAATTTGCATTCTTCTAATATGAAATGTGTGGGTCATCTTTTTGTATGTTTTAAGAATCATTTGTATTTCTGTCTTTACATTCTTCCAATTTTTTGTTTCTATTTTTATTTTATTTTCTATGAGCTATCTGTTCATATCCTTTCTATTTTTTCTATTGGGCTGTTGATCATTTTTAAATTGATTTCTGTGAACTCTTTATATCTTAAGCAAATTAATCTTTTGTATTATGAATTGCTGTTCCTAACATGTTGTGATTTGTCTTGTAAGCAGTTCCTAACATGTTGTGATTTGTCTTGTTAATTCTGCTTAAGGTTGATTTTTTCTGGTCAGATTTGTTGATTTTTATTTTTTAAGAGTTCTGAATTTTGAGTCATGACTAGAAAATCCTTCTACACTTCAGAGATATTAACAAAGGTTCCCAAGTTCCTTCTAAAGCTTTGATGGTTATTTTTTACATTTAAATATTTTATCTATTAGCAATTTATTCTGGTATAAGATGTGAGGTATGCAACCAACTTAAGTTTTTTCCTCAGAGGACTACCTATTACACCATAATTTTTAAAAAATAGCTCATCTTTCCCAAATTACTTGAAGATGTTCAATTTAACTTATATTAAATTCCCGTATGTGAGTCAATTTCTTCATTTTTTTTTCAGCTTTCTCTCCATGACTTATCTATTATATTGCTTTATTTGTCTGTTCATGTGAACCCAAAAGATGGCATTTTAGTTCGGACTTTATATGATTATTTGGCGAGTCTAATTCCCTCCTCAATATCTCAATTTTTTTCACTTGTAAGGCTTCTTTTTGTTCTCTATTTTTCCCGTAGGAAATTAGATTAGCTAGTTAAAAGAAAAAACTAAAAACTAAAAAAAAAAAAAACATACCTTCTGATATGTTTCTTGGATCTCATTATATTTATAAATTAAGATTAAGGCTTCTTTTAGTTCTCTATTTTTCCCGTAGGAAATTAGATTAGCTAGTTAAAAGAAAAAACTAAAAACTAAAAAAAAAAAAACATACCTTCTGATATGTTTCTTGGATCTCATTATATTTATAAATTAAGAAAAAATCCTTATGACAACAGGTGTTTAAGAATATGATATATATTTATATTCATTCAGTCTTCTTTTGTTTCTTTATGTATTCAACTTTTCTTCATGTAGATCTTGCATATTTCTTGGTAATATTATTACAAGGTATTTTATCTTTGCAGTTGCTGTTGTAAATGGGGATATTTTCTTTCACTATATCTTCTAGCTGGTTATTCTTTTTGTGTATGAAGGCCTTTTCAATATCAAGGTTGAAATAATTTTTTTAATTTGCATTTCCCTAGTATGAATTTGCTCAAAGTTTCATTTTTAAGTCTTCTGAAATAACTCGTTTTATGTGTGTCCTATGTATACAGAACAGAGTTGTGCTTTACTTTTTGATCTCATATTAAAATTATTTTTATTTATTGGGTGATATAATCCCGGTTACATTTACTCATTTCAGAAATGCTTGGCCATTATTCATATTAGGCTATATTGTGCATTGTTTTACACTTTAACAAAATAGTTTCTATTTTTGTAGATTTAAAGAGGTTGCTCACTATGTAAGCTGTATGATTTGCTTTTTCTGTTTGTAAAGAGCACTAGTATTTACCTTTATGATTACATCTTTTTTTATTGATGTCAAATTCACATAATATAAAAGCAAAGTATACAATTCATTGGCAGTTAGTGCATTCACAATATTTTGAAACTATCAAGTCTCTCTAGCTCCAGAACACTTCTATCAGCCCAAAAGAAAACTCTGTATTCATTAAGCAGTTAGTCACCATTTCTTCATCTCCCCAGCCCATGGTAACCACCAATCTGTTCTCTGTTTCTATGGATTCACCTATTCTGAACATTTCATATAAATGTAATTACACAATATGTGACCTTTAGTGCCTGGCTTCTTTCACTTAGCATAATGTTTTCAGGTCCATGGTGTAGTATATACGATTACTTCACTCCTCTGGATGGATAAATAATATTCCATCATATGTTAACCATAATTTGTTTATTCATTCATCCATCCATTAAGGTTGTTTCCTTTATTGTCTATTGTGAGTAGTGATTCTATAAACATTTGCATAAGATATTTGTTTGGGTACATACCTAGGAGTGGAATTGTTGAGAAACTGCCAAACTGTTATCAACAATGGCTGCACCATTTTACATTAGCCCAATATACAATGACACATTGCTTTCATTATTATTGGTGTTGTTGTTTTTGCATTTCTGTTGGGTGTGAAGTGGTATCTCATTGTGGTATTGATTTGCATCTCTCTAATGACTGATAATGTTGAGTATCTTTTCATGTGCTTATTAGCTCTTTGTATATCTTCTTTGGGAAAAAATGTCTATTCAAGTCCCATGTCCATTTTAAAATTTGGTTGTCTTTTTGTTGTTGAGTTGTAAAACTTCTTTATATATAGTAGGTGCTAGACCCTTCTTAAATATCTGATTTGCAAATCTTTTCTTCTATTTTGTAGATTTTTTTTTCCATTCTTAATAATGTCCTTTGACACATGAAAGTATTTATTTTTGATGAAGTTTACCTAGCTTTTGTTTTTTGTGTTTTTGGTGTCTTTAGTACAGAATCTATTGCCAAATTCACAATCATGATTTTCTCCTATATCTTTTTCTAAGAGTATTATAGTTTTTTATATTATCTCTACATCATTGATTCATTTTTAGTTAATTTTTTATATGGTGTGAGGCAGGGGTCCACTGTCATCCTTTAGCATGTAGATATCCAGTTGTCCTGGCATTGTTTGTTGAATACTATTCTTCCCCCACTGAATGGTCTTGGC